CCCCACCCCCCAAATAGATTCTCATACCCCCATATACAATTGTGCAGTAATCGAACAAACCGCTACAGATAAATTCAATATACCCATCCAATCTACCCCTACAAACACAACAAGCGATAAATTCCTGTCGCCCCTTTTACGAACCCAGCAACCGAGCTAAAGCGCGAGAAAGTCAATATACCCCCACAAAACACACCCACAGGACCCATAAAACAATCCTGTCCGGGCACCGACCAATCCCACCAAGAGATTGTGACAATCGATCAAATTGACCCATCATCATATTCCACAACCGATCCCGATCCCATCAATTGCGCCAAACGCTCATGCCATTGAACCGCATGGCATGCCACCTATCATCACTGGCCCGACAAGCCCCAGCCAAATGAACCGCAATCAACACCAAGTGGAGCAGCCCCACCTGCCCCACCCTCCACCAAACCCCCCCACACCCAATGTACACCTTTCAAATAGATGAACCCAGGCCATAAATTTCGCGAAATTCAGGCCAAAACACAGGGAAGCAAAAAGCACAGACCCAAGCAGCATGAGACCCCCTCCCCCCCCCATACGCCCAGCACACGACAAGCAGAGGCCACAGCACACAACACAGCCAAGGGGTGCAAAAGCCTGGTCAGTGGGTCAGAACCGGTTGCAGGGGGGTCTTGTCAGTGGGGCAGAACCAGTTGCAAGGGGGTCAAGCGAAGAAAAAGCGAAGGCACAATTTTTTTATTCAACAGAAAACAACAGCAGGAAACCAATGATTACAAAAAAAAGACAAAAGAAAAGAAAAGACAAGAAACAGAAACAGCAACTCCTGAAGAAGGAAAAGAGGAGGAAGCAAGAAACAGGAGGAGGAGGAGGAGGAGGAGGACAAGAGGAGGAGAGTAGAGATTTGACTATATCTCTGGACATCCACAGAATCCGCAAGGAGGAGGAGGAGGAGGAGGAGGAGGACAAGCGGAGGAGAGTAGAGAATTTAAGCGAGTCGTGGGTGAAGCAAACGAAGTCTGGTTCACTTGCCTTGAACCACCACTACCTTTCCTTGAGAATTGAAAATGCGACATTCCTGGTCTTCGGATGAACAGTGCTCCTGGACCATAATGGCTGGCGGCACCAGACCCAAAAAAAAAAAAAAAAAAAAAAAAAGGCTCAAGGAAGTGCGGCAGTGAAAGCAAATCTCTTACCGGGCCACTTTTACCGCGCGCCTTGTTGATGATGAGCTCGTAAAAAGTGTACTGCTGTTGGCGATGATTACAGGGAAAGAACGTGGACAGGAAACGTGGCCAAAATCAGATCAAAGTGCAACAACAAACAGACGACAGGGGGTACAATACGCCCACATGGCAATGCAAAAATGGATAAGGCCATGCCTCGGAGAGCAGATCCGACAACAGACCAGACAATGGATAAGATAACGGATAAGACAATATATAAAAAAAGAGACGACGGATGTGATCATTTGGCCTACACAATACATAAAGGATAAAGACAAAAGATAAAGACATGGGATCCGACATAAATAGATATAAGACGATGGATAAGTCAAATTGAGAAGACAATGGATACAAGACAAAAGGGGGGTCAGATACAATATGGTTCAGAGATTCAGGTTTGTGGCAGAATTGACCCGCAGCCAGACGGAGTCGAACCGGTGACCTCGCCCGTAACAGGCGGATGCCTTTACCACTGCACCAAGAAGAGGGACGGGTTGTTCGAAAAACTCAAGCCGTAACAGTCACCAAATTGAGTCCGCTTCTCAAAAAAAAAAAAAAAAAAAAAAAAAAAAAGAACAGCCCACCCCCGCACGGTGGCAGCAAGCACTAACTCGTCAGCACGTGACATGCATGAGATCCTCCACAGGCACGTGACACAATAGACATGCCAGTTTACAGGCAGGGCAACGGATAAGGTAGTTGGATAAGACAACGGGATAACACAATAGACAAGAACAGGATGGATAAGACAATAGATACTTAGATAGATATAAGACACAACGCGATCAGACACAATAAGATAAGACAAGGAATAAAATCCGAATAAGAGATTTTTGTTCGAATAAAGTTCGATAAGCACTGATTAAAAAAAACGGAACACTGACATACCCTTCACAAAGTGAACACACCTCAAGGATGCATGTGCATGGGAAGAAAAAAAAAAAAAAAAAAAAAAAAAAAAAAAAGGCAACGGCCAGGGTAAAGAAACAAAAAGAGTAATCTATATCAGAATATCTTCTTCTTCTTTTCAACGAGAAAAAGGTAATTAAATTATTAATTGTCAGGGTAAACTTGAAAAAGAAAAAGATGAATCTATCTTTTTTTTTTTTAACGAAAACAGAGCCTTATGGCTCCGGCTCCAATGCCGCTCGATGTCCATTCTGGTGAGCATCAGTCCAATTCGTATTCCACCGTCAACTTCGGCAAGTGAAAATAGTAAAATACAATGGATTGCCACATATCTATGAACTAAAAGAGCACACTTTGCGAAACAAACGGGGAAAAAAAAAAAAGACCAATATGAAGGGAAAACTGAAACCATCCACTTTTCTCATTCTTCTTTTAACTCGCCCTTCACGGTGCCTCCCGCGTACAAGGCTCGCCATGTTGATGAAGTTGAGCGTGAGCTGCCCGCATCCCCGTGTGCCAAAGCGGCCCACTTGTACGCTGTGAGAAAGAGGCAGAGTAAGGGGGGAGGGAGGGGATAAACATGGGGGAAGAGAGAGGAGGAGAGAAGACAAACAAAGAACGACAAAGGGAAAGTAAGGGAAAGTACAGAGTGTGGAATGAAGATGAAGTCAAAGGAGAGGATAACAAACAGCTCAAGAATGAGTCAGTCCTTGACGACAGAGAGGACAGATTGTAAGAATGAATGAGGTGGATGAAGTTCGATGAACAGATGGAAGACCAACATGGCTGAGCATTCTAAGAAGAACAACTGCCACGACGGCTGGCATTGACCATGCCCACCGCGCACCCCCTACAAGTGGCATGTCGAAGGCAGACCCAAATCAAGGAAGAACGCTCCCCACAAAAGACGATGCATTCAGTATAGCGCCCATGGCCGCAAAATGGACACATAGTGTCCAGATGCAGAGGGTGCCTGCAGTCAGGAACGGAGGGACAGTCCTCTACGCACACGGATGCAGAAACCATGTCATTGTTTTGCACAGAGACGATGGCGGCTATAGCCCAGTGTAACAGCGTTTGCAGCTGTGCAAAGAAGGAGAAGGTCGCAGAGTGTTGGTAAGATGTCCTGCACATAACACACTCCACGCTTCTCCCTTTTATGGGCAGAGAGACCCAGCGGGAGGCATTGATTACTTCCCTTCTGGAAAGATATACCCCCCCTTCTGGAAGAATATAACCCCCC